ACAACACCGAGCACTCGAGCACAATAAGCTAGATCTACCCACAAACGCAAAAGAGCTCCAATATACTCGGTGGCAATTGACACTACCATATTATTATTATGTGTGACAGAGCACTGTTATGACCGCCTATAAACTATAATTATTATATTATTATTCTTGACCAGAGGCTGTCATGGCCGTAACTTTTTGCTTTCTAAATAGATCTGAATTATGAGATCCTTGACAGGACACTGAAATTTCTGTAACTCTTTGCTCTCTACACCCCTACAAAAACAGACTTTAATTTTAGCATGCTTGACAGGGTACTGTCAGGGCAACATTATATTATAATAACATACAAGACCAGATACTGTTACAGTGGCCAATTGACTTAATTTATATAATCATTATCCCACCCTGGGTACTGTGAGGACCGCCAATCTTTCCTCTCTACGTAGACTTCAATTGTAACATCTCAGACAGGGCACTTTCAACACAAAACATAGGTCATACTATTAGTGCCAAAAAGTAGAGGTATTACTGTAGACACTAACATACACATTAAATAAAAGAAGAAGCCGAGATTTTGACGACAGATACTTGTATTTGACAGGAAATAAGGAGCAAAGATTTTGACGATAGATATTTGAAAGGAAAGAATGAGCAGAGGTTTTGATGACAGATGCATGATGGGAAAGAAGAATCAAACCAAAAGCAGAGCATCCTCTAACCAGCCACTGTAATTTTATCAAAATTGTCGAAAAAATTTTAATTATAGAAAAGAGAGGAAGGGGGGGGATGTTGTGTGATGTAACAGACCTGGGCGAGATGTCACATCCCTGCTGCATGAAGGCGCCCAGAGAGAACCACAGAGAGTTGGAGATGGAGAAGTCGTTTGCGATAGAATGTTCCGTCTCCGATAGGTGCCACTCGTTGGGACTGGAAGAGGCCGGGGGAGATGGGGGGGGGGGCGAGTGGAGGAATGTTAGAATGAAAGGCTGAATGGATAAATATACAAACAACTTGATTAAAAGAAGAAATGAATGATTGGATGAATGAATGTATAGATAAATGGATACATTGCTGAATATCTGAAAAAAGAGGAGAACACGTCATTAAAAAAAAAAATATATATATATATATAATAAGTGAGAGAATGAAGAAATATCGAATGAATAATCAAAAACATTATGATGTACCTAATGATGGTTGAATAAAAGATCGATGAATATGGGACAAAATGGAAGAAGGATTGAATAAATGAATGTGTTTAAAAAATAATGCTAATTGAACGAAATGTAATGCACCGAACGGATGAGCAAACGAATGGTAATGTTTATCAATGAATCAATTTCATGATCTCAAAGAGTCAACAGAAACAAGCGAGAATGTTCTTTATTCAGCAATTAAGTTTCAACGGTTGTTTGATGAAAGTAACACAACTCAATGTTTGCAACTCTTGACGAACACTGTGATCACCTAGCCTTTTCTCGGTTATTCCCCTTCCTCTACGGGACAGTTATTTCTTGTCTAATTTTGGTACTCCAAACCAATACGAACGACCTCAATCAGCCTATATTATTATTATTATTATTA